TAAAAAAAAATCCGAAAAAGATATTTTAACCATGTTGCTTGACTAAATCAAATTTCGAAACGAACAAATCTCTCCGAAATATTTTAGTTTTTTCAAACTCTTGCACGAGATGAGGTTTCGGATTAAGACCTTTTCCAACCGATTCTCGTTTGTAACACAGGACAAGCTGAATCAAAAACTTCGAAAAATTTATCCGCCCTAAACAATCTGTAACAACAGTCACGAAGTTTTGGAATAAGTATACAAATTTTCAATTGTTGTTTTACTAAGAACGTCAAGAAATGTACGCGCCCTAACCAATCAACAACAACAGTTATGAAGTTTTGAAATAATACAAACAATTGCAACTGTTGTTAAATAAAGAAATCAGCTCAGTGTTATTAAATGTCTTACAAATTTTTTAATTGGTATTATCGCAATGTCCTGTGTTACAACGAGCAACGGCAGTAAAAGATCTTCATCCACCTACAAGTAAATCTTTTTCAACCACCAACTTATCGCAAAACCCAAGTGCCTGGTTAAAATAACTGAAGCGATTAAATTCTGCAAGATTTATCCTCCCCCTTATTAAACTCGAACATTTGATAAAATAAATAAAGGTTGTACGGACCACAATGAACACAACGAGATGAAGGCATAGCATACGACCAAGACATGCATCAGGAATAATATGAAGCTGGTTGAAATTTGCGATATAATCCTGTTTGTTCGCTCAGAAAACACTTTGCATTATAATTTGAAACATGGAGATAAGACAATTGCAATACCAGGTTATTCATTGCCATTTGTTTCCAAAAGACTTGATTTGCGTACGAAATGAAAAGAGAGTCGGATCGGAAAATAATACTAAGCTCTTTAATTTAGCTGTGTAAAGCACAAGAGAGCAATATTAAATTGAATTATGAACATAAACAAGACAATTGTGATGCCAGTTGCAAGTTAATCAACGCCAGCTTTTTTTCAAAACAGATCAAAATCAGATAGGAAAACAATTCAAAGTTCTTTATTTTGGCTATGTATAGAACAAGAAATAAATCTTAATTTAAAGTTTTAAAAATAAACAAGACAATTGTGATCACATGTTAATCATTGCAGGGTGTTTTCAAACGAATTGAAAACAAAATTTTTAAAGTCAGATTGAAAAAATATTCTAAGTTCTTGATATTGGCTAAGTGAAGCACAAGAAAAAATTCTTGATTTAAAATTTCGAAGATAAACAAGACAATTGTGAAACCGAATTAATCATTCCAGGTTTTTTACTTTCCACAAATTGAAAAGTCACCAGTGAGAGAAACGAATTGTTTTCGAATCATTCATCAGCGAATTTTGTTTGATACTTTTTGGTCTGCACAATGAAAAAAGCTGAAATCCTAACATTCGGTAATTTGGAGATCACACAAGACAATTATAAACCAGGTTGTTTCTTTTTGTGAAAATCTGAAACGGTATCGACACAACCACTGCTTGACAAAACAATGCGGTTAATTGGATTACTTTTTCTGTGATCTTGTGGTCCGTATAACTCGAAAACAGGGAAAATACTGACTTCATCTAGACCTCTTAATCTCGATATTCTACGAGCCAGGCATTAGGGTTTTATAACAAGTATTAAATACATGACAAGAGAACATAGGCATCGTATAAACATTTTCCGCCCGGATGTTTGCCAAACGAAAACAATTTAAATGAAACTATAGTCTTCACGTTTTGAAACCGAATTTAGTTTTGAATAATAAATAGTTGGTACCCTGGAGTAAAGTCGTTAGTATAGTGTCAGCGTAGTGTAAAGTTGTCTGTGGGACTGTTTGGTTCGTTTCGCCGTTGGATTTGTTGCCTGTCAAGTTTCAAAACTCGCTTCTTAGCAGGAAACAGTGATTAAGTAGTCAGTTGTTGACAGTTTTGATTCGTATATAGTCACAAAATATCAGAATATATCACTAGGTTTTGTTTCAAGTCAAGTTCGTTTATTGCTTTTGTTGTAGGAGTAATTCGTTTGTAAGGTGACGGTGACTGTTCTAAGTACCAGCCTTTCAGAGTCAGTGGCTACAAATAGTTTGTTCTGGTACTCGACGCATTGAGCAAATTAATATCATCATTGCTTCAGTTGGTGTCGTACGTGTCGTGTCAGTAAGTCAGTCAGGGCTCCACCAAATTAAGACGGAAAAACTGAGACTTGCTATCGATTTGGAATAAAATATATTCTTAATCATCAAAAAGCCCATATTCTCTTGTCAGCAACAGTTAAAGTAACAAATAAGCACCGACTGTTTTGCAGACATGACGAAAAGCTGTTGAGAAAACAACGCTTAACAATCGAAAACTCGTTTTTCTAAAAGCAAAAATAATCAAATGAATTATAAAAATTTCATTAGTATTTGAGATTTAATAATTTATAAAATTGAATCAAGACAATTAAGAATTTGCTCCGCAAAAGATGAACTAAATCAAAATATCAACAGTTGACAATTAAAAACTAATCGAATGCTTTTAAGTTCGCAATAATGTCTGCAAAAGAATCGGCAAATGGTGGCTGACATTTACACCGTTTGGGATGGCAAGTTTACTTTGTTTCATTTCCCAGTCTAGCTCTAATAATGGCATTCTTTTCTCCAATCCAGACAACTAGTGTGCGATTTGATGACCCAAGAGTAACAATTTCCCTTTCAAATTGAAGTGCTTTCTTCCATTTCGCCGTCTCTGATTGAGGCATTTTTTTTCTCCGTTCCAGACAATAAGTGTGCAGTTTTATGAGCCAAGAATAATGCATTATCGCAAGTTAAATACTTTCTGCCATTTTCCAGCACCTAATAAAGTCATTTTTCATCCTTTTCGGACAATCAGTGTGCGATTATTCCCTAGCAAATTTAGACATGGTTCAGCCACCATTCGAACTAGCTCTTTGACAATTTGAAATAAGTTCTTATCTTTGAAGAATTCCTCCTTGTCTAGTGATTTAGTTTGTCCACCTCTCTTACGTCCTGAATGACAGCGTTAGCCTTCTTGGATTCCTGCAAAGCGACAGTCCAAGATCAGTAAATGCAGAAATGTTCTAAAGTAGCGCAAGTATAAAAGATTCATCAGACCATTAACTACAAATACTGTAGAGGCTACGAAACTGGCAAAACCCAAAGCTAAAAATGAGATTTCGGTTATGACACAATAACCTTTTGAAATGACCTTGAGAAATCCATATGGCTACAATTTTGTGGCTACGTTAAAATTTTATCAAGTGTTTTTGCCTTTGAACCGTGTAAACAATTTTTTTGTTGCTAGATTCTTTGCTTGAATTAGTCGAGTGTATTTTCAAACCTCGAATCTTGATTTCAACATTTCTTTCAGGCTCATTTGACCACCAAACATCCAAAATTTCACTGAACTATTACAAAGCATTAGCTTTTGCTGCGGTACCATTCAAATTGACGGCCCTTAAAATACTGCAAACGAAACACTGAATCTAAGATAGCGCTTTGCTGTCCTATTCAGAGATGAAGCGACCGTCTCAAAGCGAACAGCGAGCGCACGTGTTCACTCGCTTGGGTAACAGTTTGCTACTCGTTTGCCTTTCTCAACAAAATTAAGGGAATGTTTTCCAACAGCAGTGCTTACCTTTGATTGGAATAGAATGAGGACTTTTTTCCAAGCGTTAGGTTCTTCCAGCATCAAGCATCTTCTTCCTTCAGGAGTAAAATTGGCCCTCAGACGGACGACACGTCTTCACACATCAACGAACAATCTAAAATGTGTAAAACTCTATGATTGCTATGAATATGGATTAGATACTCAAGCCAATCGCTGACAAACAAGGCACGGATCCGACGCGGGAATATGTTTGCACGCTCTTTCTGTCAGCGAATCATAAACTGCGAAAAAAGAAAGAGGTCGTGCTAGAAAGAGGTCAAGCTACGAGAACTTTTTTGTGATTATCCCATTGTTTTTAGTTTACCATTTTGTTACCAAAAAGTTTTTGTTCACAAACTGGGACCATAACAAACTCGGCACAGATCTGATGCAGAAATTAATTTGCTCGCTTTTTCTGATAGCGAATAATAAATCGCGAAAAAAAGAAAGAAGTAGTGCGTTTAAGTATTCCAGCTAGAAAATTTTTCTGTGGACGTACATGTTATCTTGTTTTCTTTGCCATGTTATTACTTAGAAATTAAACTTTTTGCTCACAAGCTAGGATCAAAAAGTTAAAACGATCTGAAACGCGATGGAAATGGTTTGCAAGAAATATAATTTTCAAACAACAGCCAGTTTCTTTCGCAAGTGATTCGGAAAAAAAATCATTGTTTTCCCTAAGAGTCGAACCTGTTACCGTCCGCTCAACAGTCGGGCGTTCTAAGGTACTGAGCTACCAGAGACTTGCTTGAATGACATAACGTAACCAGACTACATGACAAATAAAATTTCCATGTTCTAACAAAAGCGTGAGTGTTGAAATCGGGATGCAAACGCACTCAAATTGCATGAAAAACAAAAACCTTTACAATTCTCACATCTAATGAAACTGCTATAATTCCAAAAATAGTTATATCGAAAGTTTACGTACACAATGTATCAACAGTCTCAATTTTTGCCTGAGAAATTACATAAATAATTTCCGTAGTTGGCAACAACCCCCGCCCCAGGTCGTACGCTTATGCTGGCGTAGTATCGTCTAAATGTGCTTTACTCCAAATAAGTCTGCTTAATAAGTCTGCGCAATTGCAATCAAGCTCTTGGGTGGAAAATGGCAGATCGCTTCCCCTGAGCTGTCAGAGAGTGATTTAAATATGAAAACAAACTTTAATTGGTGATCGAATGATAAAAAGAGTTTTTTTCCGCAATTTTGAAAATGGTATACTGCATGCCACCAGTTACAATGTAATTATCGGATAGAGAAAGTAACTGTACTGTGCATTACAGTTCCACTAGTCAGGACGTGGGAAAACGAGAATTCCTACATTCCATTTTTAAAGATCGAACAAAAATTGTGGTCCGACAAACGAAGCTCTGCATAATAAGGCGCGTTATTTTCCATTGAGTTACTCAACTGTTCCCAACCAATCAATGTTGTCACAGCCTCCCGTTAAATGGGGCTATTGTTTTGCGATCCATTTTCAAAGTAGTTCAAGAATAGCTCAGACATCACCGGACAATCCAGCTACGTTTGGCATTTACGCCTTGAATTGGGAAATCTTTTCGAAGACGCAAAAGACGGTAAGCTGAGATGGAATGAAACCATAGTTGTCAGTACAACTAACAATGACAGTAAGAAAATTGTTGTTATCACCATTGTTGCTATAGCGAACTTCAGTGATGGTTTATAATGCGGCCATCTGCTTACGAACCAAATGTATTTACTGAAGTTTGCAGACCTCGCCTCAAAGACAATTCTTTCAGAATTTTTACATTTGTGCCACTCCTACTGAGCTCACATATTTTCATAGTTTTAGCTGGAATAGACGAGAAAGCTGACACAATATCGATTAGAGACAACTTATGGTGTATTTGGCAGCTTGTAGAGTGATAGAGGATTTGACTACTAACGAGAAATTACTATGAAGAATATTTATGCGATTTAAGACTTCAGCTCAGTTGAAAACACTCTAATGGAAGAGATCCCGACTAAAAAGGCTTAGCATAAACAACAGTTCATACAGATACGAAGTTCACGCTCATATTTACAATAGAAATACGAACACCTCAACACAGACAATCCACGAGTTCCCATTAGCAAAATTTATTTTGCGGCTGCCTACACAATCAGTTAGTTTCGGGCATGGTCTGATTTAGGATACGATAGAAAGCGTATGGAGTCGTCTTGTTTCCGTAAAAATATTTAGCCCCATGCATTCAGAGCGGGACCAAGAGAAAATATTCCTCAATCTAGGCGGAGAACCTCTGGTATCCCAAACCTGTGATTCAAAGCGGAAATTTTGCGATCGGTAGCGCTGAAAAATAGTAGGTGTGCTTGATTGATATTCGGTGAATTCTAAATCAGGACTCTTTAATTACCCTGTGTTTCGCGGGAAAAAAATTAAAAACCCAGCGCGCGTCAAAAATTATATTTTTTCACCAGAAAGTTAGCTCGGAACATATACATATTTATAT